TCTGGATAGTACAAAGGTCATTGTGCATCATAAAGATATTAAACATGGAAACTGGGAGACACAGTCCATCCTGACATTTATTCCTGAGGAGAAGGATGACAACAGCGAGATAACCTGCACTGCTGAATTTAATGGAGGGCTGAAATCACCTGAAACTTTCACACTCCATGTAAAACGTGAGATAGTTTTAATTAGTTGTTGAATTTTGTAATGTTGAATAGAAGTTTTACTCTGCTTTAAAAATAAAACTAGGTTTAGTCTCATTTCTACTGTTGCAGCAAAAAAGAAGGGCACTAACACGACTTCTATTTTTTTCAGGTGTAGAGAACTATAATCACATCATCATTCCCTCTGTGGTGGGGATTGGTACCACTGTGGCCTTTGTACTCGTCTGCATTTTCATGACTAAAAAATACAAGTGAGTAATACAATGTCACCGATCTTAACTGACAGCAAATATCTGATAGGCAAAACACCTTGAGGAAAAATAAGTATTTTATTTTTATAAGGCATGTCTTCAGTTTTAATTTAAAACAATTATGGAATTTAACTTTTTGTGTACAGCATCTTAATTTGCATGCTTGTTAATAAACAACTTTTTTGTTAAAGGAAACGCATTGAAGAGCTTCAAAGTCGAGATGGCAGGTAAAAAAACAACACAGTGATTTTAAATTATTTCAAATGTATTCTTTCATTATCATAATGTAGTTTTCCCCAATTTTTAGCATGTGGAATCGGCTGTCGAGGATGTCTCGCAGGTGAGAAAATAGTATTTGTTGGAGAGGAAACAGAGGAAAAAACCAGCTGCCCTTACCCTCCAGTGTTGTTTTTTTTTTTTAAGGCTTAATGCATCTTGCATTTTTGTCATATGAAATCACATTTGCTTAGTACGTTACAAAGAGAAACAAACGCATGCCACATTCCTGAATAAGTCATCCTCCTAAGACCCAAAGATCCACTTTTGTCATCTGTGGAGGACATGAGCCTGAGACCTCTATGTAAAGGACCATTTTTGCAGATATTATGATTCTGTTGCTAAAACAAAGTCAAAAGGATTTTACTCAAAATTGTGGAAGGGGAGTCAAACTTGGATCTTTAATGAAATGAGGCAGAGAAAGGCCAAACATTATAGCAGGAAGGTGAAACCTCAGAGCAAGACATATTAGCTTTTGTTTAGGAACAATATAATTGCACCCAGCATCTATAGTAAAACATGGTTTAATGTAGACCTCTGAATGCAAATTCACACATTACACCCCCGCTAAGGCCACAGATGGTTGATTCCCTTCATAGAGGCAACCTCTGTGGTAGCTGAGAAACAAAATCCCACCACTTCAGAGTAATAATACTTCTTATCAATAATGGACATCAGGTGTCATCATTTTGTCCCTCCTTAGAAGCTGTATGTCGCTATCTGAGCTTTTATCTTTTTGCTCTGTTATTTGTCCTTCCACTACCTCATCTGGATGACTAGGATGACTCTTCTTCTGCCTCACTCAGCCCTCTGTCATACCATCCATGGTCATTGTTAGTGTCATGGGTGACATGAATTAATAACCCAGGTTGAGGTGAGTGTTTGGCATGCAGAATGAACTTTATGTCTAGTACAGGGGACAAAATAAAAATAAAAATCATAATTTTGAAGAAAGAAAATATGTAAAAATATGTAGCAATATATAACATGTTCCTTTCAACCACAATATTTAAATTATCTAAAAATAATGTAAATATCAAAGATTTTTTCTTCTGGGTGTCAAGAGGATAAACACTTAACCATATTTCTTTTTCATGTGGTATTGTAACTGTTAACTGAATTAACGAATAATTTAATTCGTGGAATCTCCAGGATTCGTTCTGGAGCAGGACCATCTCGTTCGGATCAAAGGCAAGAGTAATTCTAATGAACTTTAGTTCTCTGAATGCAGTAGATATTCTTAGTGTGTAGTTCTGTACAACCCCTTCCACAGTTCTGTAAAATGCTGCAGATGTTTGGCCTCACTGTAATTTGCATTTCTGTGCAGAAGTCCGAAGCCTTTTCTCATTTTTGATCAAATCTACACTTCTATTTATGTTTCTTAAAACATATGCCTGTTTCTCTTCCTCTTTTTTGCGTACAAGGTCTATTTGGAGCAGATTTTCAAGGTAGGGTGTGAAAAAAACATTTATAGTGGCCAGCCTTGTCAGCTTCTTTTATAAGCGAGATATATAT